GCCCACACCCTGACACTGCACACAACATGACACAGCACACAATCTGACACTGCACACAACATGACACAGCACACAACCTGATGGTGCATACAACATGACATCGCACACAACATGACACTGCCCACACCCTGACACTGCACACAATATGACACTGCACACAATCTGACACTACACACAACCTTACGCTGCACACCCTGACACTGCACACACCATGACACAGCACACAATCTGACACTGCACACAACATGACATTGCACACAACATGACACTGCACACAACCTGATGCTGCACACAACATGACCTGCTCAAATTTCAGACCCATCTCCAAACTTCCCTTTCTTTCTAAGATCCTGGAGAAAATAGTTTTCACTCAATTAAACGAGATCTTGAGTGGAAATTCTATTCTTGAGATCTTTTAGTCTGGCTTTAAGAAACTACACAGCACCAAAACAGCCTTAGTTAGGGTCTGCAACGACATTCTTCTGGCAAATGACTCTGGTCAGTCTCTAGTCCTGGTACTCCTTGACCTTACCGCTGCATTTGATACTGTGGACCACAGTATCCTCTTATCCCGGCTAGAACACTGGGTTGGGATTACTGGTGCAGCGTTAGAGTGTTAGCAAAATTAATACAGAAACTCCTGTCGCTCAGGTATGAATGAAACCATTCTATCTACTTCAGTGCCTCTTTCTTGCGGGGTCCCGCAAGGCGCAGTTCTTGGATCCCTTCTGTTTTCTTTGTATCTCCTCCCCTTAGGGTCTATCCTGAGGAAACATGGTCTTTCCATGGTCATTGTTATGCTGATGACTCTCAGATTTATCTGCCGTTAACACCTAACAGTTCTTCCACCATTCGCCCTTTGTTAAAATGTCTTGATGACATCAAGACTTGGATGGCTGCAAACTTTTTGAATTTTAATGATCAGAAGACTGAGGTCATTGTGTTTAACCCCAGCTCTGCCATTGTCACTGATCCTGCAAACCTGGACTCCCTTCAGCCATATCTAAAACAGTCTGTTACCAATCTCGGGATAGTTTTAGACTCAGACTTTAAGTTTAATAAGCAGATAAATTCTGTTCTTCAAAAAAGCTTCTTTCAGCTAAGGCAGATAGCAAAGCTTAAATCCGTCCTGTCCAGATCCGACCTTGAAAAATTAGTCCATGCATTTATTACAACCTGGCTGGACTACTGTAACTCACTTTATGCTGGGGTCAGTCAGGTCTCTCTCACGTCTCCAGCTTGTCCAAAATGCTGCAGCTCGGCTACTAACAGGAACTCGCAGGTTTGAGCACATTACTCCAGTTCTGTCCTCTCTTCACTGGCTTCCTGTGCGTGTCAGAGTTGATTTTAAGTTCTATTTCGTATAGGCTTCGCCCTTTAAGGCTGTCGCTGATGGGTTTATCCCGATATGCAAAGCATCACACTGAAAAATTTAGTCCACGCCCACCTGCTGTGTGGGCCCCACCCGGTCCGTATAAATTAAGTTAAGAGCGGGTAATCGGCTCCCATTTTTCTTCAGTGAGCTAATATAGCACTGTCAGAAGAATGAAGAAGGAAAGTTGTGTAGATGACCAACCTTTGTTAAGAATGCTTGGCCCGTCACGTCGACCTCTGGTCGTCCCGGCGAGCTCTCCTCCCCGAGGAGAAGCTGACAAGCAGTCTTGTTTCAAGGTAAGCGCCGAGAAGTATTTCTCAGTGACAGGTTGCTACACGCTGGAAAACACCATCTTGTAATTTTCCTCTTATCGCCGACCCTCGGAGCGAATCGGATGGTTCCTCCGGGACAGGCGGCGTCAGCAGCAGCCCCGCTGCTCATTCCCTCCTGGAGAGCGTAGTGTCGGTGGAGGGGGGCTGAGCAAATGCTCACCTCATCCCACCTCGTTTCGCATCGGCGATCACACCGCTCCCAGCCGACGGCGTCCTCTGGGTTGCCCGGCGTAACCCAGGAGGTTGCTGACATGAAGGGACCCTTTTTTATGTCTCGCGCCTTTTCCCGCCAGTTCGGATGATCTGGCGGGAAGGTTTTTTTTTCTGGGCTCCGTCCCGGCTCGCCGTCCTCATCCCATCTGGCCTCGGTTTCCCAACAGGACATCCTACGGGGACGAGGCCACAGCTGTTTTCCTGGTAGATTGGTGGGCCGGCTTCCACAGTGCGCGCCCATCACCAGAGTAAAGGGGTTTCACTGAGCGGAAATTCCCTCAGTGCTCCCTGGACCCCAGCCTGATGGAGACTTTTCTCGGAGCACGATGTCCAGGTGGACCAGCGTCCCACGCCTCCCGTTAGCGTAACCCAGACGGTGACACTGCTCTCCGACCGAGCTCACCAGCATGCATTTCAGACGGCCGCAGCGAACAACACGTTATGCTGTTGGCGTACACGTTCAGAGACGGGAAGAGACGTACGCTCCCTCTGCAGGGCAGCTGACGTCATCCTCAACCGGTGCGCCTCTTTGCTGTCTGCCGGCCCGCAACGCAGCCGGAGGATGGAATTGTCAGCGTTTCCCTGAGACCGCCAACAGATGGCGCTCTAGAACAACAAATGGCAGAGCAAATGACGTTTTTTGCGGATAAAAAAAAGATCTCTCATACCGTGTCATAGACAGGGCACAGTTTGAGGTATCAAAAAAACTACCACAGCAAAGCAACATAAATATATGTGATACATATAGGACGGTGAAGGCATTGAATTTTAAGGGAAGGTCAAAGCATAGTCCAGAGCACCCCTCTCAGCCATTGTCCAGATAAGAGGTGTTAGTTATCATCAGCTCGGTTGAGGTTCTGTCACATGTCCACGGCCTTGGGGAAGGGAGGGGTGAGGAGACAGACAAAGCATCTTTGTTTTTCCTAAACATGCCAGGAGAAGATGAGATAAGTCCGCCGTCAAGGCCACAGTTTGGGTCAGGCAGAACTCGTTAATTGCTGTTTCTGCATTTTAAAGTCTCGCTGGTATATTTTTCAAACAGCCAAATTGATTCCTTACGCCGAAAGTTGAGCTTACAGCTTTCTCCAAGATTATTTTCACCATTCATGGGTGCTGCCAGAAAATTCACAGTCCTGATAACAGCCTTCTCCAACTCTGATGCAGCTCCACATAATTCAGTCTGAGATCTGCCAAGCTTCGACACATCCACACGAATTTCTAGAAAATCCAGATTTCACCAAGCTACACAGCAGAATTTAGTTGTCATCATGAATCCAATTTGTTTCCGTCAACATAAGAGGGTCCTCCTTACCCTGTATTCCTGTCAGGAGAAGTTGATCAATTTTTTTGAGAAAACAGCTGATCAAAATCTTTCGAATTAGGAAGGTATGCAGGGGAAAAAAGAGGCTCTTTGAAGGGTTCACAAGACGAAAGAGAGCAAAGCAAGGAAGCAGGGGGACGGAGCAGAAAAGGGCACGTCTGTCTTCACCGGAGAACAGCGAGAAAAAAACAAGTACCCAGAGAAAGCCCATGCAAGCATGAGAAGAACATGCAAAATCCACACAGAAAGACCAAAGGTCCAACCGGGGATAGAACCCAGGACCTTCTTGCTATGAGGCAACAGTGTTAACCACTGAGCAGTCGTGCTGTCAATAAACTTGACACTCCACACAACCTGACACTGCACAAAAGCTTATGTTGCACACAAACTGCCACTGCACACAATCGGATGCTGTATACAACATGACACTTCACACAACTTGACACTGCACACAACTTGACACTGCACACAACATGGCGCTGCACACACGTGTCACAACCAGTGTGCAGCATCCAGTCATCACACAGAACATGGGATTTGACCGTTTCTCATAGTAGATGTTTCCGTTTGCTGATGATGAAACTGGATGTATGCATTACTTCTGTTAGTGTGTGTAGGTGTGTGTTTGTCAGTGCCTGTGCCACACCTCCATATGCCACCGTGCCTTGTGGGTCTGCAGCCAGACTCTGCCTCAGCTTCTTCCTCTTATCCTCACTGACGTCCAGGCCAAGGAAGGACAGAGCCTGAGACAGATCAGAGACAAATATACACATCATGAAGATTGGATTATAAATGGTAAATGGACTGCACTTATATAGCGCCTTTTTATCTTATTTCAAGATACTCAAAGCTCTTTACAACAATCTGTGTCTTCATTGACCCATTCATACAGCTCTATACTAGATCTCTACAAAGCTAATTGAACAAATCATTCTAAAGAGACGAATCAGTGATTTATCACATTCAAACACCAATGGGACACACATCAGAGGCTATGGGGTTCAGTGTCTTGCCCAGGGACACTTGGGCATGTGACTGCTGGTGGATTTGAACCCCCAACTCTCGCATTGGAGGATGACTGCTCTAACCACTCAGCCACAGACTCCCCTTTATATTAGATTATATTGGTCTTATTTTCATTGCTCGTTGGAATCTTGACATTTTGTTGCTTTACATCCTGAAATTTATCAGGATTTCTAATTAAATTAAAATCAATAATGAATAAACATAAATTAAAAAAACATAAATAGAAATAAATGGGATTTATGAATAAACCCCATGTTGCAAAGCAATCAAATAGAAACAGAATAGAAACATCCTCTCTGCTGATCAGACACCCCTCTCGCCCGCAAACTCCTCTCTGACCATAATCCATCCATCCGTTATCTTTTACCCGCATCTTCCGTTTTGGGGCACGGGGGTCGCTGGTGCCCATGTCCAGCAATCACTGTGCAAGGGGCGGGGTACACCCTGGACGGGGTCACAAGTCCGTCACAGGGCTCTCCGACCATAATGATTTGGCCTATTTAGACTTCTATGTCATTGTATTTATCACCCAACATGCTGAATGGCATAACTGATGCCTGAAGTCTGACAAGAATAAATTAATTCAACCTTTATTTAGACAGATAAGTCACATTGAGCCTCGAACACTCATTTACAAGTGACATTCTGTTTAGACAGAGAAAAAGTAGTGAAACTGGACACATGTAGGAAGAGGAGGCAAAAACAATCCTATTAAATTCTTTCTTCTTGGCTGAAATATCCTTTGATGTGGGATTCTTTACAACATGATCCATGTTCTGTTTTATGGTCATGGTAGATTTAGCATTAAAACATTAAAACCACTTTCCTGAGAAGATGTGAGCACGTACCAAGTCTAACTTATCAGATTTGAGGCGTATGTAGGGGTCCAGCGTTATCCTTGGTTTTGCTCCTGTTGGCGACCTCTGGCTGGTTGAACCTGGAGGAAAAGTCAAAATATAGAACACAACTAGATTACAGCATACAACACATTGTACGCCCATTGACAAACTGTTATATAGCAAGACAGTGGTGACTCATAAATGTATCAAGTTTTGTTAAATCATCTTGGATCAGAAGATGTGACCTGGAAGAGCTAATACCATGCTTGACATTTGACCTTGCTTTGTGACCATGACCTTGTAGTGGAGGTGGTGATAAGGGTACACAGCCCCTCGTGTAGCGGTGGTACATTTGTGTATCAAGTTTTGTTAAATTATTTTGAGTGGTTATGATCCAGACAATAGAGAGTTTATGAATGTACAGATGAACAATGCGTCCATCTGTTTACAGGCGTACAATGAAAAAAGTGAGAGAAGTTAAAATTAGCTAACAAAACCAAGTAGATGTACTGATGCTGAATTTGGCAAAAGTAACCAGTGTAAAAACGATTCTGACTCTAAGATTTGTAGAGAAAACCCTGGAACCCTCCGTGGCAGAATGAGGAGAGTTCATGTGAGAACACGGGGCATTTTGTAAACAATGAGTAGAAAAATATCATGGGATTATCTTTAAAATCAGAGCTGATAGACTCTTGTTGGATTTGAAAAAGAAGGAGCTGGTGGCTGGGACTGGGGGATGGAGGAAAGGGGGGTGAAAAGCTGATGATTAAAAACAGTGGCACAAAGATGGATGATAATATATATAAGATAGAGGAGAACAGTAGCTGGGGTGGGGGGAAGGGGTGCAGAGCCAATGCCTAATAATAATATGATGAGTTGTCTGTCCTGGATTTGTACGGCTGTGTCGTTGGTAACAGCAGCCTCTGGTTTCTGCACAGCTGATTGTGGTGATTAACGGGACTGAAGCTGCAGCTTCAAACCAAGACGTCTTGACCTTCTATCCTTAAGAAGCCAGTTAGAATGAATAAAACTCTGCATGGCTTAAACTCTGTAAATGTGCAACAAAAGTCTCTGCAGGTTTGGGATTGAATACAAGTATACTATACCATACCGTATCGTACCGTATCGTATCGTACCATACCATACCGTACCGTACTGTACCGTATCATATCGTATCGTACCGTACCCTACCATACCATACCCTACCATACCGTACCGTATCGTGCCGTATCGTATCATACCATACCATGCCAATTTATTTCTAAAGCACTTAAAATACAACATAGCACCTGTCTGAAGTGCTGTGAAAAATTAAACAAACAAAAAACAATAAAACAATAAAAACAACTATATATATATGTATATATATATATATATATATATATATATATGAATAAATAATCAGAACATCAAAAGTAAAAGAATACAGCATTAAGACAGACATGCTAGCTCACTCTAGATTAAAAGCCAATGGAAAAAAAAGTGTTTTTAAACGAGTTTTAAAAACTTTTAATCACATTAAGGAATATTTCCACTCTTTTCCATATTTATTTAATGTAATCACAATATCTGAAACATGGTTGAATACAGAAAAAGGAACATATTTTTACTTAGATGGATATGAATTCAGATACATGAACAGAAAAAATAAAGTTGGTGGTGTAGATGCCAGGGCAGCACGGTGGCACAACTGGTAGAGCTGCTGCCTCTCAGCGAGCAGGTCCTTGGTTCAAATCCCGGTCCAGGGGTCTTTCTGGGTGCAGTTTGCATGTTCTCTCTGTGCATGCATGGGTTTTCTCCGGGTCCTCCGGTTTCCTCTCACAGATCAAAAACATGCATGTTAGGCTGACTGGTAACGTGGTTTGTCTCGTTTGTCTCTATGTGTCCCTGTGATGGACTTGCGACCCGTCCAGGGTGTACCCCGCCCCTCGCACAGTGATTGCTGGACATGGGCACAGGCGACCCCCGTGACCCAAAATGGAATAAGCGGGTAAAGAAAATGGATGGATGGATGAATTGCAGAGTATTGGAAGAAATAACTTTGGTGGTTGATAACATGCTTGATTGTATAACAATAGAAATCTGTACAAAGAAGGATAAGAATGTTATTATAAGTTGCATTTACAGAACACCTGGGTCCATTATAGAGCATTTCAATAACTGGATGGAGAGAACATTTACTGGGAAAACTAACAAAGTTCTGTTAATTTGTGATAACTTTAACATAGATTTACTTAACCCCAATAATCATAAGTCTACAGAGAATTTTATTAACACAATGCAAAGTGTAACCCTCTTTCCAAAAATGACCAGACCCAGCAGAATTACAGCCTGTTGGACCACTCTGATTGATAACATCTTCACAAATGATATTATAAATAAATCAATAGGACTATTAGTCAGTGATATCAGTGATCACTTACCTGTTTTTACAGTATATGACATAAATTACAATACTAGTAAATCAGAAAACCAAAAGTTATATAGATGGGTGAGAACAGAAGAATTAATAAAAAATTTAAAAATTAACTTGATGGCGTAAAACTGGGATATTATCTATCAACAAAAAGACATAAATGGTGCATACGAGGCATTTCTTGATGTATTTATGGAATTATATAATAAACATTGTCCAATCAAGATGTATAATAAACAGAATAAATATTATAGTTGTCCTTGGATCACACCAGGACTGAAAAATGCCTGTAAAAAGAAAAATACATTATATAAAAACTTTATAAGATTAAGAACTAAGGAAGCGGAATCTAAATATAAAAAAATATAAAAATAAATTGATAACTATCATTAGGTTTTGCAAAAAAGAATATTACAACAAAAAATGGATGAAAATAAACATAATATTAAAGAAATATGGAATATCTTAAACAGTATTATAAAAAATAGTATAAATAAACAGGATTATCCAAATTATTTTATTGATAAAGATATTGAAAACTATAATATGATTGAAATAGCTAACAGTTTTAATCAATTTTTTGTAAATATTGGACCTGATTTATCTAAAATGATCCCTGAGCTGCCACATACTGAACCAAATTTAAATAAAATAACAGGAAGCCCAACTCAATGTTCCTCAGTGCTGTGACTGAAAAAGAAACACTCAACATTGTGAATAAATGTAATAATAAACAGTCGTCTGACTTACATGGGATTGATATGAAACTGGTACAGCATGTCATTGAGGGGATTTCTAGACCATTTACATATAACTTGTCATTTCAAACTGGTTCATTCTCAAGTAAAATGAAAATAGCTAAAATATTGCCGTTATACAAAAATGGAAACAAACATCTCTTCGCTAACTATCGACTAGTCTCGCTGCTGCCACAGTTCTCTAAAATATTAGAAAAATTATTTAATAACAGATTGGAAACATTCTTAGATAAACATAAGTCAACATCAGTGAAAGTCAGTACGGCTTCAGATCAGGAAGATCAACAATGCAAGCCATTTTAGAAACTGTAGAGGAGATAACTACTGCGATGGACAACAAGAAAAATGCTGTTGGAGTGTTTGTGGACATCAAGAAGACATTTGACTCAGTCAATCACGATTTATTAATAAAAAAACTTGAACGCTATGGGATAAGGGGAGTAGCATTAGACTGGGTTCAAAATTATTTGAAAGGCAGACAGCAGTATGTGAAGCTGGGGGATGTTTGTTCTGGATGTTTGGACATTGTTTGTGGGGTTCCTCGGGGGTCAGTCCTGGGTCCCAAACTGTTTATAATTTATGTAAATGATCTATGTACTGTACCTGAAATAATGAAAAGTATACTATTTGCTGATGATACAAATATTTTTGTGTTGGAGATGACATGGAACAACTGTTAGAGGATGTAACTAATGAATTGAATAGACTTAAAATGTGGTTTGATGAAAATAAGCTGTCCTTGAACCTAAACAAAACAAAAATAATGCTATTTGGGAACTGTCAATCACATACAGAAATTCAAATACAAATAGATGGAGTGAAAATTGAAAGAGTTCATGAAAACAAATTTCTTGGTGTCATTATTGATGATAAACTCAACTGGAAACTACACATCAGATACTTTCAACGTAAAGTCTCAAGAAATATCGCCCTCTTAAACAAAGCCAAGTCAGTCATAGAACAAAAAGCATCACATGTACTCTACTGTTCACTAATCTTACCTTATTTAAACTGTTGTGCAGAAATCTGGGGCAATAATTACAAAGTACAAAACTACACTACAGGAATCAACAATACTACAAAAAAGAGCAATAAGAATAATCCATAAGGTGGGATATTTAGAAAGCACTAATATACTATTTGTAAAATCTAAATTATTAAAGTTCATTGACATATTGAAACTACAGACAGCTCTAATTCTTTACAAAGCAAAAAATAAACAATTACCAGAAAACATTCAAAACCTGTTTAAAATTAAGGAGCAAATTTATACTTTGTACGTTCAGGAGGAATCACAGTTTAAAATACGCTAATTCAGAACTACTAGAAAAAACTTTTGTGTATCAGTAAGTGGAGTCAAACTGTGGAATAATTTGAATATTGAACCTAAACAATGTCCAAACATAAAACTGTTCAAATTATCATATAAATATATGATTATTGCTGGATATAATATATAATATTATTATTCATTTATTGTTGTTGTTTTTTTGTTATTTGTTATTGATGCTTTTGTTTTTGGTGAAGTTAAAGGAATAATAATTGTTCATCTACTATAGTTAACTTAAATAGATACTATATTGATGTATAAATATGGGATTAGTTGTTATATTTATGGATTATACATGTAATGAATGTAAGATTATGTAAGTGGTTAAGGAGTGGGAATTTTGATAAGTTTATACTTCTATCCACTCCCTTGAATATGTAAAACAAAAAGTTTTGACATTATGCTTCATGCTATATATATATTTTTTTTTTTTCTTTTTACATATTCAAAAAATAATAAACTAAACTAAACTAAAAACAGAGATTGATGGGGCCTGCTTGACTTTCAGTGGCAGCTCATTCCACAATTTAGGAGACAGAGCTGAAAAGGCTCTGTCTCCTCTGGATTTATAAAAGGTTTTTGGGATATTATTATTATTATTATACATATTATTAATTAATATTAATTAATGTTACAAAAGTCTTCAGTTGATCCAAAATGCTGCTGCCAGAGTTTTAATGAGAGTTGATAAGAGACATATCTCTCCCGTTTTAGCTTCTCTCCATTGGCTCCCTGTCAAATCCAGAATAGAATTCAAAATCTTACTTCTAACCTACAAAGCTCTCAACAACCTGGCTCCACCTTATATCTTATTTTCTTCTTATTCTCTTAACAGATCACTTCGCTCT